TTTTTTCTGTATTGGGGCTCAAACTCAGGACCCTGTGCTTGCCAAGCAGGTTCTTATGCCATTGAACTATCTCACTGGCCCACACCTAAAAATGTGAGGCTGTAATCCCAGCACTCTGGGAGCCAAGAAAGCAAAGCAGGATTATAAATTCAACCTTCAAGGGCAATTCAGTGACTTAGTGAGACCCTACTTCAAAATAAAAAATGAATAAAGGGCTGAGAATGTAGTTCATTGTGAAGGATGTGGGTTCAATTCCCAGCAATATATATATATATATATACCTGTGACCCCAGCACTCAGGTAGACTGAAGCAGAAAGGTTGCAAGTTAACTTGGTGAGACCCTATTTCCAAATAAAAATTGCAAGAGGGTTGGAGATGTAGCTCAGTGGGAAGATCTTGAGTTCAATCTCTTAGTACCACAAAAAGGGGCCTCTTGATACCCTAAGCTTTAGATAAATGCTTTTTTTTTTTTTTTTCCCCGGTACCGGGGATTGAACTCAGGGCCTTGTGCTTACCAGGCAAGCACTTATCCTACTGAGCTATCTCCCGGGCCCAGATAAATGAGGTTGATGCCATCATAACTTAGTGTATGTTGTAAGCATTTGAAATTTGTAGTGATTACACTCTGTAGCGGGTGATCACCTGTGTCAACTTGAGAAGTTTAGAAGCTTAAAAACTGGCTCAGCAATTCCACACCCTATAGTGTGGAGGACCATTTGTGGGTGGCTCATCACTTAGAGGATATAAAAAGGAATTAGGGAAGGATGGAGTGCTCCATTTCTTCAGAGGAGCTCTGCTCCTCGCAGTCAGTTTGGACGTTGTCTCCTGGCTTCTAGCACAGATGCTTCGGCTTTTGCCTTGGACCCTTCAGCTTTCTGGTGTAGACTCATCAGCCCTCCACTGTAGACCCATCGGCCTCCTGATATGGGCTTGCACAAAACACTGCAGTGAGCTCCAGAACTTGGACTGAATCCTTCAGTCTCCAGTGTGTAGATGTCCACTTCACGCTTCATCCGACTCAGTGGCTGACCATCGTAAGCAAAGTTTGTAAGTTCTTATAAATTTGTGTATTTTGTGCTATATCTGTTCCTCTAATAAAACCCTGTTACATACTATATAAAAGTAAATGCATAAATCAGCAAGTTATTTATATTACTATCAAATAGGTGCTGCACATGATTTTTTTTTTAGCAAGGCATATATTATTATTTTTCTTCAAGCTAAGTGCTGCTGCACATGATTTTATATGCTGCATTTTTATGCATAGCACAGGTTTTTAATGCTACACACGAGTAATGTCCTGCCTTACCATGGCCATGACCTCACTAGGTCATAGGAATCTTCAGCTCCGTTCTAATCTTATGCGGACACATTGCTCATCTGGTCCTTCACTGACTAAAATGTTTATGTGCTGAATGGTTATACCTGAAGTACTCTTCTAGATATCTTGAGGGGCCCAGAAGGATCAGAGTGAGTAAAAGAAAACCCCTAATCTCAAGGAGCTTGTACTACAATGATTAACAGATGGGGAAGTGGTGTGCCACAAAAATATAAGGGGGTTACAGCATGGGAGGGAGCACACTTTCAGGCATAGTGATCTGGTAAAGAGAAGATCTGAGAAGTGATCAAGGGAATCATGCAGAAATGTGAAGAAGAGTGTTCCAGATATAAGGGACAGGAGGTGCACATGTCATACTGTGGGGATTCGCTGGTCCAATCAGAACAGCCAGGGTCCTTGTGGAAGTTTGCTCTGTTCAAACTGCTTCTGTCTTCTCAGTGAAATGCACAGCAAACATCAACTACTGATAAGGGGACTCTGGAGGTTTGAGAAAGATGTTATGAAAAACATAATTATGACATTCTACATTGGTGAATAGAAGTCCTGAAATATGGGGCCGGGGAGATAGCTCAGTAGAATCAATGCTTGCCTGGCAAGCACAAGGGCATGAGTTCAATCCCTGGTTTTGCCAAAAAAAAAAAAAAAAAAAAAAAGTCCTGAAATAAACTACAGACATGAGTTTTCCAAGAACAGAAGAGGGCTGAGGACTTTTTTCCCTTTCACTTTTTTGAGACAAGGTCTTTGTTCAGATAGGCCTGGAACTCACTATGTAGCTAGCCTAAAGGTCCACCGAGACAGGATTCTAAAATCAGTTTGTATCACCCTCTTACCCTCAGATGGTCTCATCAATGCAGTTTATGAGATGAGAGGTATTTAAGAAATGATAATTCCTTAATTGGTAATTAGCCTATCTCTCCTAAACAGGGGTGTGGGGGAGGACTCTCCCCCTAGTAATCGTGGAATTTATCAAGCGATGCGTAACTGTCAGGATGCTTCCCAATCAGCAAACATTACATAGATAAAATTTCTCCTTGCACAAGTTCTGAGACAAGGGCAAGTACTGATTTTTGGTCTGGATAGAGGAGAATCATGCTTCTTGCTGGGTGTAACTGCACGTTTGTAATCCTGGCACTTGGAAGGCTGAGGCATGGACTGCTGAGGCCAGCTTGAACTACATAGCGAAACAGTCTCAGAAAAAGTAAATGAATGTATCCCACAGTTGATAGTCTCCCAAATAAGTCATTTATTTTTTCTGTATTTTAGGGAAGGGTCTACAGGGTGTTCAGGGTCTTATTACTAGATATGACATAGTGATTCTCCTATTTACAACCTCCCAAGTGCTGGGAGTATAGGCACGCACCACCACGCCGTCTCACTTGCTGTCTCAGCATGCCCTGGGGGTGGGGCTTGCACAGCAGGCCGGGGGATTGAACCCCCAGCCCCTGTGCCCCAGTCTTTTCGGCAAGTCAGAGTTATTCCCAATATTTTGATAGTATGTAAGTATGTTGCATAGTTTAGACTGGCCTTAAAAATCACTATGTAGCTCAGGCCAGTTTCACTCATGGAGATCCTCCTGCCTCAGCCTTCTGAGTGCTGCGATTATAGGTGTGTACCATTACACCTGACTAGTCATGCTATTTAAAAGTCATATCTAAAATACTTGGCAGTGACCCAGCTTAATTGGGTATGATTCAGAGGTTCCCTGGCAAAAGAGTTGGCCATGGCTGAGCACATTTTAAAAGGTCCACTTCTGTCCTGGAGTAAAAATGGAGTCCTATACATATTCTGAAAACAAGACAGTTTTCAGAAAATAGTGACCAATTTGGAGTGGATAATGCTTGTAAATATAACTGGAATGTCTTTAAATAAAGCAACAAAAACCTCATGACATTATAGGTAAACTTTTAACTAACTATGAAGCCTTAAGAATAAAATAGCCTTTATATATAGCTGAAAGGTTTTCAAAAAAATTTATTTTCATAAATTAACACACATAACAGTGGGCATTGTAGAGTCACAAACTACCAAACAAAAAAAGGAACTGCAGGGGCACTGTATATGCCAATGTTATCAAAAAATGTACAAATTTCACTGAACTACTGACCATGATAATATAGAAACCTTCAGGCAGCGTTTACTGACCCAGATCCCAGTTCAAGGAGACGCGGAGGTCTCTCACTGAGAATTCAAATACAATTCAGCACCACAGAGGAGCTTGTGAAGACTGTTAACAAGCATCACATCTTAGTGTGCCATGTCAAATGGTGGGCTACACAGGGATCCCCTCAGTTTACAATCAAGGTAGCTTTTGCTGCTTAAAGTGTTCAGATGGTAACATTAATATGACTTCAGCAAAATTAAGTCTCTTTTTAGTCAGTTTTATACAGAAGTTTTATATAGAGGTTCAGTTCAATCAAGGAGCCCTCTCCTTACTTGAAACCAGGCAAGGACACTGTACCTTGGGCCAATTCTTTGTACTTGGGATACAGCCACCCACAATATGGTTATTTAAGATGTCCTTTTCAGGGAAAAAGCTTATAGAAATTTTAAAAAAGATATTAAAGAAAGCACCAACTGCATACTTCTCAGGTAATGGAAAAAAATGTATGACCGTCTAAAAGTTGGTCTTTTGTGGATCTTAATGTACATGGTACAGATGATGAGAAGGAACCCTAGCTTGGAGTTGGAGTGATGGCTCTGCAACCACTGGCCGCACTGCAGCCTTGGCCCTGCTGCCACAGTCCTACACGCTTGCTGCTGCTCCACGAAGCCTGGTGGGTGGGGATGAGCCACAGGCAAGTATACCCAGAGTGGGATCTGATACTGACCTCAGTTGGCTCCAGTGCCCACACAAAAGACCCTTTCAGGCAAAATTATAATAAAAGCATCATGATTTTCACAGCTCTTGGAGGGGTACTGAGTTTTGGAATTCACAGCATGAGTTTCTGAGCTCTTCAGGCTCTGAGTAAGGCAAACACTACAAGTCTCTTCACCGCACCTCTCAGCTGCAGTTCAGTAAGGTGAACACAATGTTTTAATAGATGATGAGGTACCTTGAAACTAAGGGAGAAATGAGGCTAGACTAAGAGAAAAAAATTGAAGGGGGAGGGGCAGATGTGACAGGAGGAGACCACTGTAGCCAGAGAATGAAAGATGAAAGGAGACAGGCAGAATCCTGACTGGACCTAAGATTTTGCCTCGTTTCCCATAAATACTAAAATACTAATCTTCTGGAGGTGAATTATGGTTGAGTTAGCTACAGTTGTAAGGTTCCACCATGTGGGGTGAAAATTCCCCATTCTCAGAAATGGTACCAAACCCCATCATGCAATGCCCATCCTATAGCCCTGGGAATGTGATAAGAGTGAGGGGCCACTGGTTCTGGGGACCACTGAGCCTTGGGCCTGGTTAGGTCACTGGTAAAACTGGGTGTGAGGACAGGTGTGGCTGGAACTGATACATCAACTACTCATAAGTAACTGCAAGTTTACAATGAGGCATCTCAACTTTGGAGCAGAAAGGCCCCCAAAAGAGGGTAGGCCAAGAATTTCAAGGACAGGCAAAGCTGGCCTTAGAGTAGCTTCCCACTACATTCCCAGGAGGAAGAAGCCAGGTCTCTGTTCCTCTTGTCCTTCACACCTAGATACCAATGTTCCAAACCAACGCTCCAGTGCTTTCAAGAGGACTTATAATGGCTGAACTTGAAACTGCATGTCTGTCACGTTGGTGATACCACTACTGTGCCCACCTCCACTGCTGTGGGGGACTTGGCTGCCACAGTGCTGCCTCAGCTACAGTGGCAATGGAGCAGGCAAACAGGGCTTTGTCAACTTTGTCATGGCTACTTTGTAAGTGTACAGCAGGAGTTCCCCAAACATGTTGGTACAAAGGTACAATGTATTATCCATTTGATTTCCTTCAGCAAAATGACAGAAGTACTAAGAACCCTGCCCTGACTGCCCAAAGAGCCCTAAGAAGAGAGAGATACTAAGGTGAAACATGTTGCATCACCCATATGGGATGGGCAAAAAGCACACTGAACAGCAACATCTGTCAACATCATTCAGAGCCAGTGAGAAAACCTGATGCTCTTCTATGGGGCCATGGCCTCAGAAACCTCTGTGATTAGCCAAATGTGTATTTCATTTATCTAAATGCTATGTCTGAGGTGGCAAGCCTGGAAGATGGATAAACATGGCACATTTTTCCCCCCATTTATGTCAGTTTTTCTGCTCCAGTGTGGTACAGATTATCAACCTGTAAAGCAAAGGCACATAGTGACCCCTACCCACACCCCATCCCTCCACCTACATTTGGGGAGCAAAAGAATCCTAGAAGAGTCGGCCAACATTCCAAGGCAGCATCACTCACTCTTATTAACAGACTGGAAACTGTCCCTGACGCTTGGACAGTTTCATCATCAGCTGCTTTAAGGTGGTGGCCCCTAGGAAGATGGGAAGATGTGACCAGTGTCTTGTGGCTGACTTCAGCATCCTACTCACCAGCCAAGGAATGTTAACTCTGAACTCTTAACTTTAAAAGACAAGAGAGGAAGAAGGAAAAAACAAAACAAAACAAAACAAAACAAAACAAAACAAAACAAAACAGTGGAAGAAGAGGAGGAGTAAGGGAGCAAGGGCACACAGGGATTCAGTGGAAAAGAAACGAGACCTCTGGGCCTGCTGCTTACATAGTATCCTGCTACCCACAGGCTCCTACAGATACAAATCCAGAAACTCTGCTATTTCTGGCATTTGACAATACTTCCAGTAGGTCTGACACAGGACTAAAATATATGAGGTACCCTCAAAGAAGGCTGGCTGTGGAATTTCATGATTCCACTCCAAAATGCACCACTGGGTCTGCACTGCTACCCCGACCTTCTCCCCAGCCCTGGAGTACAATGCTTGACTAGCTGAAGACCTTCTAGGTTGGTCTGTCACTATCCAAGCCAGTGCACCCAACTTTGCCACACACTAACATTTCAGATAAAACCACACTCAAACTTATCATTTTTTAAGTGATTGTGAGAGAAATCTATTCTTAATTATGAAATTAAAATAAATATGTGTACTTAATAGGCAGGAATAAGAACCCAGATTTTTTTAAAAAAGTGCTCCCTCTAATCAACTATATTAGAAGTTAGAGATGGAGAGGGATTGCTTGAAACATATTAATGGGAAATATGTCTTCCATGCACCACTCAACTGGGTCAAATGCCTATCGTGTATTCTCTTAAGACATGTATTATCTTTTTCCTTAATTTCTTAAAAAAACTTTAAAATCACATTTAAAGGCCCCAAACATGCAGCAGTAATACACACACACACACACACACACACACACACACACACGAGAAATGAAATAAAATGAAAATAATCAATATCACATTAGAAAGTGCAACTTACTTTGATTGGGGCCTGGACGGGCTCCTCTGGCACTAGTGACCCAAAGTCACAGAAGGGATAAAACAATGGGGGAAAAGACACACACACACACACACACACACACACACACACAAAGCACACACGTACATTAACAAGTTCTGGGCAGACAAACTCAAAAAAGTAGAAAATACAACAGCTCATCTTTTCTCCACTACTGAAATGAGCTGGTTATTCCACACAGGACAGGAAGCCAGGTCCCCTTCCCTGGACCATATCTCTAAGTCATCTTGGTCTAGCACCACCGTAAACAAAGCGGAACTTTCATGTGGACGTGCAAATGTTCGGAGTCATTGGAATTTTAGTGTTGTGTAAGATACGTGGCTTCTTCCTCCTGTGGATGGCAGAGATAAGGAAGAGATGGCCAGATGTCATTTGGGACCATTTCCAGGAGAAAGAGAGCATTCCTGAGGTTCTATACTCAGCAGTAGAAACACAGGACCCTCCATCACCAGTTCCTAAAAAGGCTGCACCTTGAAATAGGTAAAAATTATTGGACTGGGCATCTTGAGTAGCTGGAACATAGGGTAAAAACAGGCAACCTCTTTCAGGGAGGTCTGGAAAGATCCAAGCTTAAGACCTCTATCCACATTGCTTCTCAGCAGCCTGATGACTGCTCCTGCTCCTCTTCATTGGCAAAGAAGGTCTCCAGCTCCATCAGTTTCTGTATCAAAAGAGCATCCAGTTCTCGACTTTGCAGAGCTGCCTTCTGAGCCCTGGTAAAGCTGCCACTCAACTTGACTTTACCTCGAGCTCTCCTCTTTCGCGGGACTGTAAAGTCCTGAAATTCTAGAACTCGCTTTCTTTTCTGTTGGCTGACTGAGATTAGCGTACCATTTCGTTCCTTGGGTTCCTCAAAGATGGTCTCTAAACACCTGAGGTTAGAGCACAAAACAAAATAATAACAGACTGATTCACATAGATCACCAGCACTTGTAGTCAACAGGGGCGGAAAGCTACTTGCATTAATGAGTTCTTACTCAAGTGTTTATGAAATCATGTATTTGTGTACAAGTTGAAAAAATCCAAATTGATGAAGGGTATAGGGCAGAAGAGACACTATCCCTGCTGTCACCACCACCATAAGCAACACTACTAACATATTTTCTGTGTATCCTCTGCAAAGTTATTCAATGTACAGACATGTAAATGACAGTATTAGAGACTGACTCTTTATCAAAAAGATAGTGTTTTAAACTTTATGAACCACCTAGGTCCTTACTGCAAATTTTTCCTCTCCTGTCTTTTTTAAGCAACTAAAAGTGTAAAAGCCACCATGAGCTTACAGGACATAAAAATAAAAAATAACCAAAATCAAAATCAAAAGGAAGGGCAGACTTGGTAGCAGATGCCTGCAATTTTAACTACTTGGGAAAATCAAATACGTGGGCCCATGGAGCCCAGGAATTCAGGATCAACACAGTGAGACTGGGTGAATGGTTGCAATTCCAGCTCCCAGGGAGGCTGATGTGGAAAGATCAAGAGTTCAAGGCTAGCCTCGGGAACACAGTAAGACTCTATCTCAAAACCAAAAACCATGCCAGGTGTGGTGGTTTGGGACTATAGTCCTAGCTATCTGGAAAACTGAAGCAGGAGGATTACAAGTCTAAGAGGCCAGCAAAACCCTCCTTCAAAGTAAAATTAAAATAGGGCTGGGGAGATAGCTCTGCAGCTTAAGTGCCTGCCTGGTAGGTGAAAGGTCCCAAGTTTAATCCCTGATACTGGAAAAAAAAAAAAAAAAGGTCTGAAGAGGTAGCCCAGAACTAAAAAGCCCTTGGATTAACCAACAAAGTTTCTGGATGGACTTGGCATACACTTTATTAATTTATGGTATATAAACATAAATTATATATCAAATAGCAAATCATACACAGTCTTATACTGGGCTTCTCTGACCTATCAATAACCTTTAAACTTGTTCTAATGTGCACAAGTTTCTGATTGATTTACTAAGAACGTAGTATACTCCTTTATAAGGATGGACCAAAATGTAATAGGAACTCCAGAAATATATATTCTAGATGGTTTTTAATCCTTTCCTATTTTTTTTTTTTAAATTTTATTTATTTATTTGTGTGTGTGTGTGGCCAGCTCAGCCCACCAGGGGGCGGGGCTGGCTGGCACTTGGTGCTGGGGAATGAACTGCAGTCCCTGTGCTTTGCTAAGCTTGTTCTAAGTAGGTGCTTTAGACCACTGAGCCATCTCACCAGCCCCATCTTTCCTATTATTTAGCAATGATGCAAAAATAAAATCCTAGGACAAAGTCCTAGAACGCTTGGTATACTTTTTTTTTTGGTGGGGGGCAGAATTGGGGATTGAACTCAGGCCCTTGCACTTGCCAGGCAAGTGCTTATTCTACTGAGCTATCTCCCCAGCCCCCTCTTGGTATACTTTGGATGAAACAGGAATTTAATAAATGTCATCAATTTGAAGTGAATTCAAATTATTTCTGTACTCTGGCTTGGAATTATATTTGAGGATCATTGATTATAATGGAAGCCAGCCAGCATATTTGGTAGAAACACAAATACAAATGAAAATGAGACTTTCTGTGACCACATAACCCCATGTACACCTCTTTCCTATCCTATCACTGACTATCCTAGTGCTGCCAGTTAAAAACACCAATTCTGGTTATTTAAAAGACAAAATATTCTCAGAAATGAGTATGTACTTTTTTTTTTTTTTTAAAGTGAAAAGATTACAGTTTGACATCAACTATTACACAGTCTCTTTCATTTCCAAGCCACATATACTTACCTGTTTGCAGGAGGAGACTTGTAATTTTTGTTTGTATATATTTCTTCTAAACTAAATTCCTTTTTCTTTAACCTGAAAAGAGAAATAAATTCTTCGTGCTCCTTTTATTTATTTTTTATTATTTTTTTATTCTTTATTTTTGGTGGAACCGGGAATTGAACTCAGGCCTTTGCGCTTGCTACGGAAGCACTTATTCCACTGAGCCATGTCCCCAGCCCCAATTCTTCATGCTGTTCTCAAAAAGAGTACAGACTGGTTATTTCCCAACCCTACCCTTTCCATTCTTTCTCTTTTTTTGGGGGGGGGGTGGTGGAACTGGGGATTGAACTCAGGCCTTTGTGCTCCATTCTCTTACTCTCAATTTTTCTGTAGTAAGAGATGTGTTTTATGTGAATACATACTAGGTTTTCTTCCTTTTTTTTTGGGGGGGGGGATTTTAGGAAGGGGCCTACATGGTGTTCAGGGTCTCACTAGATCCTACTCATAGTGATCTGCCTCTTTACAGCCTCCCAAGAGTTGGGATTATGGGCACATGCCACCATGCCCAGTCTCAACTGCTATCTCAGTGTGCCCCAGGAGCAGGCCCGGGGATTGAACCTCCAGCACCTGCGCTTGCTTGCAGGCACTTTAATCTGCTGAGCTATTTGGCCGGCCCCTAGGTTTTCTTTATTGACTAGAAATCTTCAACTTCATAAAATTTGAGTCCATTAATAGAATTACCAGAAATGATAATATTTGGGTTTGGATCTACTGCCTCATTTCACAGTTTCTCTGTACCTTCTCCTCAATTCATTCATCCTTTCCCTCTTCTTCTCTGAGACAGTGTTTTGCTATGAAGCAAAGTCTGGCTTGAACTTATAGCAATCCTGCTGCCTCAGACTCCCAAGTGTGTATGCTACCACAGTTTCTAAAAAAACATCTTTTTTCCTTTTGTGATGTTGAAGATAGAACCCAGGATTCATATATCCTAGGCAGGCACTCTATAATGAACTACATTCATTTTTATTCCCCTCTCCCAGCTTGCGAATTATATATTCTCCCTTTTAGTAGTTGGCAAAAATTTTAATGAGCAGACTAAATTTATGAAATGAATCAATAATGTTATTCTTCCCCCAAAAAATACAATGTCCCTAGATCTATTTTTTTTTTTTTTTTTTTTT